CTACTAGTGGTGATGCCGCAATGCCAGGAGCCCCTAGTAGCGTCCTTGCTCGTAGTAGCGACGCCCTTTGCTCCTAGTAGCTTCTTGTTCCTAGTAGTAAGAATGCTAATAGTGGTGACGCCGCAATGCCAGGAGCCCCTAGTCGCGTCTTTGCTCCTAGCGATGTCCTTTGCTCTAGGAGCTTCTTGCTCCTCCTAGTAGTAAGAATGCTACTAGTAGTGATGCCAGGAGCCCCTAGTAGCGTCCTTGGTCGTAGTAGCGATGCCTAGTAGTAAGAATGCTACTAGTAGGGATGCCAGGAGCAACTAGTAGCGTCCTTGCTCGTAGTAGGGATGCCCTTCCCAGTAGTAAGAATGCTACTAGTGGTGATGCCGCAATGCCAGGAGCCCCTAGTAGCGTCCTTGCTCCTAGTAGGAATGCCTTTTGCTCCTAGTAGCTTCTTGTTCCTAGTAGTGAGAATGCTACTAGTGGTGATCCGCAATGCCAGGAGCCCCTAGTAGCGTCCTTGCTCGTAGTAGCGATGCCCTTTGCTCCTCGTAGCTTCTTGTTCCTAGTAGTAAGAAGGCTACTAGTGGTGATGCCGCAATGCCAGGAGCCCCTACTACCCCTTTGCTCCTAGTAGCTTCTTGTTCCTAGTAGTCAGGATGCTACCAGTGGTGATGCCGCAATGCCAGGAGCCCCTAGTAGCTTCCTTGCTCGTAGTAGGGATGCCCTTTGCTCCTAGTAGCTTCTTGTTCCTAGTAGTAAGAATGCTACTAGTGGTGATGCCGCAATGCCAGGAGCCCCTAGTAGCGTCCTTGCTCGTAGTAGCGATGCCCTTTGCTCCTAGTAGCTTCTTGTTCGTAGTAGTAAGAATGCTACTAGTGGTGATGCCGCAATGCCCGGAGCCCCTAGTAGCGTCCTTGCTCGTAGTAGCGATGCCCTTTGCTCGTAGTAGCTTCTTGTTCCTAGTAGTAAGAATGCTACTAGTGGTGATGCCGCAATGCCAGGAGCCCTTAGTAGCGTCCTTGCTCGTAGTAGCGATGCCCTTTCCTCCTAGTAGCATCTTGTTCCTAGTAGTAAGAATGCTAGTAGTGGTGATGCCAGGAGCCCCTAGTAGCGTCCTTGCTTCTAGTAGCAATGCCCTTTGCTCGTACTAGCTTCTTGTTCCTAGTAGTAAGAATGCTACTAGTAGCAAGAATGCTACTAGTCGTGATGCCGCAATGCCAGGAGCCCCTATAGTAGCCTCCGTGCTCGTA